AAAATCAATTAATTTAGATGGTTCAAATTATTTAAAGTGATGTTTGTGATATTTACCAATGCCAGTAAACGGTAGGTAGGGACTGAACCTTGACACGCAATATATGAACCCTCGAATTAGCTAAATGGGTTGACTTCTAAGACATTAGGGGCTTTTTAGAATCCTTGGGGCATCGTGTGCATAAAGGTTTATTGAACATTGTCATAAAATAAGTAATAGCTACTTTTACATATTGAATACATCGGAAATTTGTTGCAAAATAACCATATAACGCGTTTGACAAACATAACTATCTAAAATGTAGTAATTATGAGACAGATTTATATTTTCTTAACAAAAACAATGTTATGGCGCAATTTTTGAGTGTAAACAGTTTTGAACAGTTTTGAAACCAGTTACGAAAATTTGTTAGTGAAAAATACATTTATTGGAATCTTTAGACCTTTATGTTATTTCACTTTTGACATGGTAATTTTTTAGTGAACGTATTGTATTGTATGTGCGGTATAGTTTTTTTTTTCGTTTTTTTAATTTTTAATTAAGCCTACGTACCGTATTAGATTTTTTTAGCTTTGATACGAATTTAATAGATAGAAGAATCCGAAAGAAAATAGATTATGATAATATTTTGTATTAACTGTCAATCCCTTCTATACTCTGAAATAGATCCGTGGAAAAGTTTTGATCCACTTTAATTTAATTTTAACTTTTTATGTTGTCATTTGAAAGGGGTCCTATAAAATGTCTTGAAAGCGTAATATTTTGACATTTAGTGATTAAGAATTTTAGTGGCTTAAGAAAAGGCTTAGAAAACCCCACACTATAGTCGCTACTATAGTCGTTATATTTTTTACAACAATCTCGAACAAGTAATATAATGAAGAAAACGAGCAAAAACATGGGAATGCCGCTAAAACCACAAAGTGAGGCACGATGACAACTTTTTAAAAAGCGACATTGTATAGGCGCGTCTTGTAGTGGTCATAAATCGACCGTGCGGGCTTTACGAGGGACCTCCGCAAATCGGTTTATATTTTCGATAAATAAAATTGGCGCGGCTTTTGCGAGGTAAGCAGAGGCCGTTACGGGCGTCGCCGGAGCCGCCATCTGCCGCGCGCACATAAACCCGAACTACCCTCGCGTTTTCTTGCTGACAATTTTTTCCCGCTCGGGTCATTACGCAGCTGGGCCCCGGACAAAACGGCGAATCGTTTAAGCCCTCTCCGGAGACCGTGCAATTTTATTGTGTACCTACCGCCTAGTAGAAATTGATATGCTGCGCGAGTGGCGACGCTTGATCCACATGTCACGGACGCGTATGCCTTTTCGCAATTTTTGATGCGAATATAATCATAGTACCGTTAACAACGGCGGGTCGTTCCTGGATTAAACTTTAGCAGTTATGTTCATCGGTAGACGGATTTTTGGCACCAAAACGTAGGTTTTAAAACATCTTCCTACAGTAGTTGGGTTTTATTTATTTGAATTTGTGACTTAGTAAAATATGTATAATCAATGTTTTAAAGTAATTTGTGATGAAATAATTATATTCTTTACACAACACGATTATTACATTTTTTAAATTGAAACATTATTTCCAATTATGAAAATCTTTGATAAAGTCAATTTAGGTGTAGTACTGTGGTAGGGACATGCAACAGTCTTCGCTGTTGCACGAATGAGAAGAATTAACTCACAGAAGACGGGAATTAAGTGGAAGTGTTACACTTCTGCGTTTCGTCTGGTGAGTGATGTAGCCGGGGCTCACTTTATTAAAAGTTGGCAACGCATCTGCAACCCTGCGAGGGTTGCAAATGCGTTTTATGTGCTCACATAAAAAAGATTGGTTAAAAGTCTGTAAGAAGCTTCAGACTTCCAGATTCCAGACACTTCGTACCTTTAACGCGTAAGATCAAAAATGTATCATCGAGACAAGTAACCGAGATAATAATCTCTATTTTCTACACATAAGTCTGCAAAATCTAAAAGTTTCATAGCTCAAATGTGTCCGGGGTTTATTAAAAGAAATGTTATGGCCACCAGATTTTTACTTTTAATATGTATTCTATTATGATTAAGTTTTTATAAGGCGCTTTAGTCAGATAATTTCAAATGTGATCGACACAATAAACAACACTATGATGATTCAAAACCAAATGCAAAGAAATGCCGAATCTGTTTTACAGCAGTAATTTTTAGAAGCCAAATATTAAATACAGAGTTCAAGCAAACAATTCGACACAACATCCAACTACCTCAATATATAGAGGAATATCTTTAGTAGAATCACTCGTGTCTATAAGAGTATGTTTGTGTGTATGAACTTATTTAGGCATGTATATACGTTCATACTCATATGTATGTTTTTATGTAAATATTATTTTACGTATGTATGTTTATTATTCTTTTATTACTTCTCGGGACCATCCGATGGGTGTAGTGGCAAAAAATGCTAATGCACAATTCTTCCTTTGTACACAAATTTCGTTTTAGCATAAAGTTATTGTCACTGACGTAGATTACAGAATTACATAATTTGCACTGACAAATAATAGAAAATGTGAAACTGTTATTTAATATTAAATAAACTTCCTAATACGTTTTTTTCTTTTGAGATATATAGCTGGTGTTTAATATAATTATTTAATTCCAGTTGTACTTTTCAATTGTTACAGATAATTCTATTATTTTATGTATGATGTTGATGAAACTTGGAGAAATTTATGAACCCCTCCGGTCATGGTGCATAAAGTAAATTTGCGCTTTGTTTATTTGTGTTGTATTTATAACGGATGTCATAATTTCAATGAAAAACTAAAAGAAATATTTAATTTGTCTGTAATAGCCTCTGTTTTCTGCTATTAACAAAAGATTTGATAAAAAAACAAAATTCAGACTACTGTAAATAAGTAAAATTCATTGTAAGTACAGGTAAAAGAGAGCTTTTGTTTACAGTATTACAGAGTTAAATTTTGCTTGTGTCTGTAACGGATAAACGTAGAAACTTCTAAATCGTTCCTAAATTACATGACATTCCATTAATGACATCATTAATGAAAAATTAGACTGCGTAACGTATATACATTTTTTTTAAATATTACGCTATACAAAGCTATATAAAGAAAGCTAATCTATGTATTTGATAGTCCAAAGACACAGCTTTTTTGCATTCTATTCTCTTTTTCTATTTAACAACTTCACATTTATTGCCACTTAATACATAGAGTAACGTCAAAACAATATGCTAAAAATATGAACAGGATTATATTATCTATAATGGAACTGACGTAAATTGTGAATTTCTCCGGACTTGTCAAAATTTTTAAAATGTAAATTTATTGAAACCGCCAACTGCCTTAGAAGAAGAAGACGAAGAAGAATCCAAATGATTTAGCCATGTCAGACAATAGCCCTGAGGTCGATGTGTGGGTTATTCTAAGCGCTTGTGTTGTGTTTGGGCTGCCGTTAGCACTCCTGATCCCGGACTTCTCAATCTGGGATGTCGTACCGAAGGTCACCGTTCACCGGTTCCACGCTCTGAGTCTGCATCTGAACTGGTTCCAGCTTCATTCAGCCATCGTGGCCTTTATGATTTTGTTTTTCTGCTTTTATTTGGAAATTAGAAAGCGGATGTAAGTTACTTTGCCTGAATAATATTATTGAGTTAATTTAGAATTGGTCGTACGTGTAGAATTTTGTCTAGATACTATATTCATATTGGTAAATGTAAATAACTTTAACTCCTGCGTGATTCAATTGAAATAAATTTTAAACGATAGAGAGGGATCAGTAATGAATTTATCAACAAGCAGAATTTGGCGGTCGCTTGTAGTTTTCGAAAAAATAAATAATGAAATAGTGTGATTTTTACTATAGAAATCCGCCATTTTTTTGTTGTCAATATGTCAATTCAGCTGGTATTTCTTGGTGGTCATAATAAAAAAAACCTAACATCGAAGGTTAAGGCGGGAGCGAAGCTCTTAAACTTCTAGCTCTGAACCTTCTAACCTAATCTATCCGAGTTGGATTCGCTCTGTGTCGGTTCTGTGACTCATTAAATTAAAAAAAAATCGGAATATCGATACGTGTATGATGTCGCCCGCTTCCTATATTTATCACGTTGGCAAAACTGTGTATTGAGTTTTTGAAGTCAAACAAATAAAATGGTGGATTTCTTAGTACAAAAAACAAGTTTTAAATATTTTTTTCTCTAAAACTATAAGCGACCGCCGAATTCTGCTTTTTGATAAATTCATAAGTGATTTTTCTCTATCGTTTAAAATTTTTTTGATTTGAATTACGCCGGAGTTAAAGTTATTTACATTTACCTTCATATTTTATAATTTTAATCTTACATAATTTGTAGATGTTGTTCTGTACCAACGAATCGAAGGAATACTTGAACACTTAGCAACAGTCAAGCTAATTGCCAGTCAAATAAGTAAATCATTAATTTGGCAGTCACCAGGGTGTGTTTATCAATCATATCATCACGTTTCGGTTTATAGGGTAGGGAGAACTGCGAGAGAGGCCAAACGCAATACAAACTTTCCTCTACTTTCACGACTTCACCCCGCTTACAAAAGGTATGGAGAGAGGTTCCTTCTCCACCTCTCAACCTGTCCTTCGCACCCTCCCAGCACGCATCCAGAGTGGCCTCGATTAGCCCACTTGAAGCGGCCGGCCTGTGTTTGGTGTAAGGCCACCTCAGTGTTAGTAGTGGGCTACTAAGCTTCCGACCGGGTTCCTCGTCGTAGCGGAGGGCTCCGAAAAACCAGTCGAAATGAACCCGGTCGAAATGGAGCAATGTCTCGCCTAAGGGTCGTACAAGGCGGGATATCTAAAGCGAATAAAATTTTAAAAAATAAATTAAGAAATCTTGATAGGTATGTAATATTTATTCCTAAGATCGGTTCATATTCTTAAGCTTTATAACTTTAATATATATTGAATATAATAATATATGAATATGGTTTAAAAATAATCATTAATAGTTATACATGATTTGTTCGAGGTTGGACGATATGGTCGAAGAGGTGCTGACGGTGAAGCGGGCTACGATAACAACAATAGAAGCGGAGAATGAAAAGCAGGCAGTCACTATGAAGGCGTGCGTCGCTCTGCTCGATGCCTCGTCTGACTACTACGAAAACCTCGTGCTGCTACACGACGAGCTTCGCCAACGGGATAGGTTACGGCAACAGCGTCCACCAACTATCCAGCTTAACGCCAGCGATTTGTAAATGTCGAAAAGTAATAATATATTTATTGTTCATGACCAATTCGTTTTAAGTACCTTCCTTCGACTTTAAGCAACACCTTTGAGCGTTCTTCAATAAATGTTACAAAAAATGGACGCTAGTTTACAAAAGTTATTGGGTTTAACCAATCTTTTCGGAATGTAATTCAATTCATTGTTTTTTGAAAACATATGATGGACATTAGTCGTAAAATAACCTTTAAGGGCAAACCCTATCGCTGACTATGGTAGCAAAATTTCCGGATGTGCACGATGCTTCGCTCAAGGTATAGCGTAAAAACGACACCGTCTTTAGAACTTCAGAACTGAAGTCAGGTTCGCCCGAGTGCAAGACTCGAAGGACAATGAAAAAGTGTTTGTGTGTTTGTAGTGAAGATAAAGCAAAAAACAATAACAAGCTAAACGTACAGCCCTATGTTGTCCACCACCACCCAGCCCACCGAAGTCCCTTCTAACGACAAAGATGATAAAATACAATGCAGTTCATTGGTAATACATATCCTAGATAATAGGTGATTTATTTTAAAGAACCTATGATAGCTTGCGTCTAATACAAAAACAGGTATGCATGAACACACAATTACTCTTCAGTCGCATATACCTTAAAGAATACCCGATATCTTTTAAACTGTTATAAATACATAAATTCGAGTAAAAGCCGGTAAGGGAAATTGAACATCATGGTAGCGTATAGTCTTATAATCATATACGATATGTATATAAAAACAATTAAATCACCATAGAATATTTTTGAAATGAATAAAAGTTGGCTGCATACACGGCGCAAAGGATTTACATAACAAATTAATCCGTTCGTCTTTCCGAAAATTAAATGGTGACATTTCGTTCGGGTCTTCTGGTTAATTACGCCCGGTGTAAGCGGTGTAAAGAGGCACAAAAGGCCATTAAGAGCGTTGCGGGGCCAGCCCGCGCAATTTTTATTTCAACCTCCGCCGCCAGACGTGTTCATTAGACCGAATGTCTCGGGCCCCTCGTGGGACGTTGTTGACGCGAAAAAACCAATCTAGAGCCGGCAATTACGGCAAATGACCTAATTAGATGTCGCTGCAGCGCGCCCCAGTAGTTTCCACTCCCCGCTCTAAGAAAATGTACCTCTACCTACCATTTTTAAATGCATTAGAGACACCTCACATACAGCGTCATACACTTGACGTGTGAAATATAATTATACCTTTGGCACCTACAAATTACAAAAGCACATCTGTTATTTCCTCAGTAGATATAAAAGATATTTATTTTATTTTAACTGTGGTCGGGGAAGTACCGAGACCTCACAGAAGTGTCATACTTCTGCGTTTCGCCTGGTGAGTGAGTTTCGCGGGGTTCCAGTTTATTAAAAGGTGGCAACGCATCTGCAACGGGTGTTGCAAATGTCCATGGGAGGCGGTTATCACTTAATATCAGGTGAACCGCCAGGTCGCTTGCCACCTTCTTACATAAAAGAAATATTTAGGGATCCTTTTTTAGTTGCCGGTAGCTCCATGATCATTTTTCATTGTTAAGTGTTGAAAATGGTGGGAATTTAGTAACAAATATAAAGCGATACTTGTTATTTGCGGATATGAGGATGGATTATTAAGCTATCGATACCGTTATTAGAATTTTTTTTATATGTATGGAAACGAATACCCCATCATATTTCCTGTATACATAGGTGAAATTTTCTTCCCAGTACACGTTAGGACCACGAGCCAAGGTGTCGTGTATAAGCAGACGCGAAGATAGGCCGAGCCGCCACCGTTCCGAGAGAGCGCCTTGCTCTATCCTCATCCTGGGGACCCGCCGGGAGCGGATCAGCCGCTCGCAAAAATAAATAAAACTGTTATTGAGATAAGCATCTGCGCGGCGCGGCTTTCCACTAAGTCCCGCAGTGTCGCGCTGAGCAATGTACTGAGATATGTCTGGATTAGGGCGACCCGCATACCCCCGCCTTCCGCTTCAAATCTGCCGCTTTTCTACGAAGTTTCACAGCTGAAACCGCTTTACATAAACAGCATGACAATTTTAAATTGTCTCAATGAACAACGCGGGCCCTCTCTAGCTTTTATTTTGTAAAGCGTATAACTACTTTTGAGTCGGCGGTAGTCGGAGTTTTATCGTAACGGTCCGTTTTCTCGGAGGTCTGCAGTTGCGTTTAGATGGGGCTTGTTAAAACATACCACTTTTAGTGTTATATCGTATAATTGTATTTAAATAGAGTATTCTGAGTTATAAGTCTTCATGTTTGTACATCTCAAAATGTGAGAAATAAAAATGTGGTGGTGTTTAGACAAAACAAAAAACTAACGCCCATGTAATATGTGATAGCTCCATGTATCCGGCGCAAAGTATTAATTTCGTTTGATAACTGCGTGGCAACGTATAAGCGTGGATTAGTGGAGAAGTTGTGAGCACGGGGAAATTGGCCGTGCACCTGCGGCAGGCACCTGCCCACCCCGGATTAATTTCTCATCACGCTGGCCTCTCAGGGAATAATCTAATGGTGCGGCATCCTTCGAGAAAAATAGCACGGAGATGTCGTTTCTGTTGATTAATAAACTCCCCGCAATCCGTCCCGCCTGCGTTCCGCTTTTAAGGCGTATTTCCGCGGGAAAATTGAACGCTGCGAGTGTTTTTAAACTGAAAAATAGGGCATCAGCTGTTGTGCGTACCGAACACTCTGTGTGCAAATTTTACAATGTTGGAACGAAAAATGTTACGATTATATTGAGATTTAAACTCAGCTTTACTTTTCTGTAATATTTAAGAGTATCTTAACAACAATTTTTTCTTTATTTTTAATATTAATTGAAATTGCTTCTCAATACATTTATTATAATGTTTTGTATATACGTCATAACCTTAATTATTACCTAAAGAATAGTGACAGACATAAAATAAACACTAGAAATAAGGACAAACTTACTACGCCATTGTTTCGTCTACAAAAAGTAAATAAGTCGTTCATGGGGCAAAGTGTACGCATGTATAATAAAATTCCACAGTCGATATTAAGTCTGCCGCTTGACCAATTTAAATTTAAAATTAAAAATCAACTGATGATTAAAGCATATTATACCATTTCGGAATATCTCGACGACGCCAATGTGTGGAGTTAATATTGTTGATACTCACGTAGGCTAGAATAAGACTATTATACCTGTATATTATATTGTACCCTGATATTTTTGAAAAAGAGCAACTGTTGAGTTTCTTGCCGGTCTCTTCTCAACAGAAACCGCTTTCCGAACCTATACACATAATCTTTGATGTAAAATTTGACGATTCATAAGAGCGCGCAAGCGTCTATTTGAATAAATATATTTTTGATTTTGATTTTGAATGTAATCAGCACGCAATGTGGGTTTGGTGTTTCTGTGAGTTTAGCGTTGTGACAAATCAAAGCTACTGCTTGCAATTTTATAGAAAATTCCCGTTAAATTTTTTAAGCGAGATCCACAAAATTATGCAGTTGATGACTATCTTCATGTCAAACGTTCAGTTTATACAATAAGTTTGCTGTTAATTTTTAATCATAGTACTTATTTACACTTTTATATATGCACCGACACCTTTGTGGTGCCCCACTTGCTTTCAGGTGCTGCTTAGTAATTTCGGCGTCGCGTCCTCGACGAAATGTGATTTTAAGCGGAGACACCGCGACCGCAGAGTGGAGGGAGCGTCATGCGATACTTTCGTCTCGGCCGCAATATGGCCGCGAGCATCTGTCGGTTTGTCGCTCTTTCTATTTAAATAACCCTACTTTGATACAATTATTTGCACCATTGTTGCGGTCGACGTTTGTTCGGGGGAACACTTTCGTTTCAACCAAAAACGCCTCGAGCTATGTAAATTGATGGGAATTACTGCGACATGATTATGCTTGTTAAGTTTAACACGCCAGGAACTGTCTTTCGTCATCGTTGCATTTTGTGTCTGGGCGTGTGGCGGGTTTTTATTTGGTCTTTTCTTCATCTGTCCGTATGAAACGTATTTGTTTCCACGCAATTCGAAGTGATCTGAATGTTTTATATTTTGTGATCTGCTTTGTGTACCGGAAAACTTAATAAGCACTAACATTTCCTTACATCCGATGCAACCTACGTTCTCTAAGACAGTACCATTCTCCACATAAATTCAAATTGTCCTCTATGCCTTCACTCAGAATTATTTATGTGGCTATTTATTGTATTAACATAAATTGGACATGAGTTATTTTATTGGCCCGAATGCGTCGAGAATGCGCTGGACAAAGGTTATGATTGTAATTTGGATTTGTCATAGCTCGTAAAATCAATGTTCGCTAGTGATTTATTAAGAAATTCTCAGAGGCGAGTGATTGATTAAATATAAAAATGATTTGTCGTTCGATGTTTTTAGTACGCGTGAACGCTCCAAGTAGAAAAGCAGTTGTTTCCTTATATTATGTTCAAAGGATTACTAATTACCTCAAAAAGCAGAAATCCAAATACTATTGGGTTAGCTCAGAGAGATAAACCGACATAAAACGAAATATTTATATGATCACAAAATATTTTACCTTATTTAAGTACAAAAATTATAATAAATAAAAAATATTGAATACCACAAAACAATTTACTTGGCAAACTTTTTTCTTGCGCCCTCATGAAATATGAGATTATCAACAGTTTACATATTTTTGTAAAATGCAACGCTCTAGTTTTCTTAGTTTAGATTCTTTGCATAGTTTTTCTTTTAAAGGGTTGTTCAACATTGGATATTATAATTTGTGCAACGTTAAATATGGGGATAGCTGTTTTTTATTCTGTTAATTTAAAATTAGCAAAAAACTTGCTGCGTTTTTTATTTTTTGCGTAATCAAACAAGTGTGCAATTTACGCTATTGGAAAATGTACTTATGGCAATACAGTGCCGGTTGGGAAACCATCGATCTTTATTATTACGGTGTGGTTGCTAGGGCACAATTATATAAGTTTAGCGCCTGTGGGTTGTGGATTCGTTTATCATTCACGGATACCAATTCCTCGCGAACGGGTATTCGTTTAGTGCAATTTGTACACGTAAACGTATATCGTTAACACGGAGCAATCCTATCACACAGTTGCATAGTCTAAAAAACTAAACAAACTCGAATGAGATTAAAGATTCCTATTTGTTCCTACAGAGATCGTCTTAATGGAGTTCAAAGTCAAGTCGGTACCATGTCAGTTGTAGTGCTCATTGGCTGTTGGATTTAATCACCTGTTGTTATCTTCTAGTAGTTGTATGATATGACAGCGCGAGAGGATAAAATATATGCATTAAAATAAATATGTACACTGCTTGACAATACTCCCTAATGTAGGTAGGGTAAAAGAAGCGCGGTCCTTAATACAATAATTCTTTAATGAAGGTGGAAGCGAGTAGGGGGTACACCTGATGTTAGGTGATTACCGCCACCCATGGACACCCACAACAGATAAATCCTTTTTTTAATTTTATATTCTGTTGAACTTCCTGTTCACTTTCTGGACGAACTGGCTTATCATCGCTCGGAAAAGCTGGGGCGTGGCTCTACTAATGTCCAAAAATTGTAGATTAGCGAATTTAAATTGTTCCTTCATTGTTCCTTCACCTCCAAACATATTAGTTATCGTACAAACTCTTGTTTGTTTTGTTATTCAAACAGATTAAATACAATTTTTTTACGCGCTTCACTCAATTAAGTACAAGTGCTAATAATTAAAAAAAAAATTTTAACGTAGACTAGATTCAAATTTAAACAGTTATCTTCTTAGTGTCAAATTTTTAAATTATAGTTCCTTATTAAAACAAATTTAATTTTTGGTATATATTTACAATAATTGTGTAGTTTTTATTACAAATATAATTCGCCGAAAAAAAAAGCAACCACCTTTTGCACATTATATTTAATTGTCTGAACCGATTATGCAACACTTAAAAAAGGTGTATAATCGTTAGACCACATACCTGAATGACAAATTTTTATAATATTTGTATATAAGAGTAGCTTGCTGTCACCATCTGAATAATAGTGCGGACTTTTAAATATCAAGAAAGTCGGTTCTCTAGTTTCATGGTATTATTCTATTTATCAATGTTTCCCCATGTCTACTCCTTCCTTTTCTACACCGTGCCCACATATTATTGTAACTGTATAGGTGAAATTGCCGCGAGAAGCCTGAAGATCGTTCTACACCGCAATTTGCGATGCAATTTGCATATAGCAGCACTAACTTACGGCGGGAACGACTTCTTCGCTCCATATACAACTATTAGGTTATAGGGAACACGTCCAATGCATAATGGTGCAATGATTTCTTTGACAAAAGTCACATAGATTATTACAAACAGCAATTAAAGGCTAAAATGCAACATGGACTAACAGCTTGATGAAACGATTGATGAACTTGCTATTTTTATATATTGCCCTTATTTATACCCATAATAATCAAACCAATCTCTCAGCTGACCCGCATCCTAACGAAATTACCATTATCTGCGGATATTTTGCAAAAGTGTATTAAATGAATGCTTGAAGTTCTTATTTTTAGACGAATACAGAACCAGAATTATTGAGTTCAATATTCCCAAGCTTTTAGGAAGAAACTGAAATTTGAAAATGTGTCAAAAATTTATGTTTCTTATAAATCCTATACATTGGCCATTATAAACACTATGTTTTTATTTACAAAATACATATATAAAGAAAACACTCTTAAGGTTCCGTACTCAAAGGGTGAAAAGAGACCCTATTACTAAGACTCCGCTATCTGTCTGTCTGTCTGTGTCTGTCCGTCTGTCATCAGGCTGTATCTCATGAACCGTGATAGATAATTGAATTTCAATGATGATGTATTTCTGTTGCCGCTACAACAATAAATATTAAAAAACAGAATAAAAAAATATTTCAGTGGGGGTTAATATCTACAGACATGATTTTTTTACCGTTTTTATAGATGATTGAATAATGGAACCCTTCGTGCACGGGTCCGATTTGCACTTGGCTGGTTCTATTTCTGGAGTTATACTTCTGTTGGCACGTTAGGGAAAAACTGCTGATTTATACACCAAAAAATTACATGACTAATTTCATGTTTTTTGAATTTTGTCAAGCCAAAGAAGTATAACTTCTTATGTACTTACAAACTGTTAGATATGTGACACTTCATTGTTCAATGAAAATAATTAAGTATTATATATAAAGGCATTTCGTTGTTAAACCAAACTGACTTTGATGTTAATCCGTATACAAATATATTCAGATTTAGTAGTTATTCCGGTAAATTATAAAGTTTTTATTTTATTATGACAATTCCCAATGTGGCTATGTAATATTGGCCCTATCTCCCACTGAGGTTTTAATCACTTTTAATCTTCACTAATCTTTCGCTAAAAGGCGTATAATGTTGAGCATTATAAAATATTAGGAGCGTAGAAATCGTGTTACGAACGTTTGACATTGCAGCCATTTTGTGGACGCTGAGAACTGATGGCAAACAGCGGGGGTCCCACGTTCGACTTCATGCTTGTGCCTAAATTTAATAATCGCATTTTGAACGGACTAGATAAATGTTTGTTTGGTATTTCTTCTTGTTATGTTGGTCAATGTTTGTCAACGAATATTTGAAACGAGAGTTGGAAATTATATAAGGTAGCTTGCCCTATTGAAGATTTTTTGTGACTGTTATGTTATATATTATAATATAGTGGAAACTGTGTTGTAGTTCAAAATTATATTAACTACTTAACACCGGATGGTCTATAGAAATTCCAATTGTATATTATATAAGAGTTTTAACGTTTTTACCTTGACTCTAATATTTTAACTATTACTGAACATGAATATTAACAACTTTTTATAACGACAAGCAGCACTAGTGGTTATATCACCGTTCGGAAACGCAGCCGAAATCCAAGTGTCCGCTGCTCAATACGACCATGTGTCCCGTGACTCGAGTAGATAACGTCATATCCGGTATACAGTGTTGCCAGCGCCAACAATTATGAATTGAAAACTCAATATTTAATTATTTTTTTCTATTTAAAAAACACTACCCTTACTTTCGGACAATATAATCCTGTGTGTTAAGGACATTTTACAAACAAAAATTTTTCCTTGGAAAACAAGCAGCTTTGAAATATTACACACATGTCCCGTATGGGAATCGAACCCATGACCTTGGCTTCTGCGCCTAATTATTTTTAGGTTTCGTTGTTATGGAAAAGGAGAAAAACGATCAGGTGGGCCATCTGATGACTAGTACCGCCGCCAATGGGCATTCGCAACACCACACAGGTGAATAAAGAGTAGTTAACTTTTAATTCTGTCTATCATGGCAATTTTTTCGTGAAGGTTTCTTGCGCGAATTGTTGAATGGCATTTACAAAACCTGCAAGGTTGCCTCACTCACCAGATGAAACGCAGAAGTATAACTGCGTTCAATGAAGCTTTGATAGTCTAAGGACTGAAAGCGTAACATCATTTATACAAAAAAAAGAAAGAAATATAATACATCCACTTCACGCCGGTTTTCTGTGAGGTCGTGGTACTTACCCGGACAGACTTCCCCATTCATACTGTAGTGAGGACTGTTGCGCGGCACTACCATATACACACAAAATAATAAAATCCCACACTTTATAACATTAATATAGATCATTTAAAAACGCAATTTATTTCATCAAAGCGTTTTAAAAAGCCAAATCCTGTCCACAAACCGAAGTGCCCTTCCATTATGTGTAATGTTAACGACGCGACACACTCTCCTCTAAGCCTTTTCATCTGTCAAGTTTTAACGGCAACGGAATTGGGTTATAATTTACGATATTATCTCGCGACACCCCGCATGGGGGAACGTCGGGTGACCAACGAAAAAACTGACCGTAGGCGCAATATGTAATGGTCAGCGTCGCTCGTTAAGTTGCACCCGCCCTGTTATGATTCGCCAAAATAGAGTCGTTACAATGAGAGACGGCGATTGTCGGTCGTTATTTAGTGCGATCTCGTAACGGGCGATCGGTCGCATTCGGACGCGTGGCGTTTGTTGTTGCCCGCGTGTGGTCAGTTTACGGTACAAGGCCCATTGTGCTCCGCTCGTAATGTATCAGTTCAGTATTGAAACGTCAAGAGTACACAATCGGTGCGACAAAGGGCGTTGTCAAATGAACGGCCAGCCGAGTGGCGGCACGGCACCCTAAGCTCGGACTGTAGATTGATACTGGCTCAACCCGCCGCTGCCTGACAAATAGACAGTCCAGCGGAGGCGCCGTGAGCCGTCTTACCATAAATAAGGATTAAGCCGCTGACCGCGTTGTTAGGAACACTCGCAGGACGCCGGTGATCCTTCAAACACCGATCAAGATCCCCGTCGCACATTCGCATACGAAATCTAGCAGAATACTCTATACAAGTACATCGCCTTGTATCTACAGGAGTTGCGAATTTCCATTAGAGTCGTGAATTTGCCTTATTTCGGCGTCTAAGTCTCAAATTACAATTTGGAAGACGGGTATCAACTTTGGCTCGGGAAGCGCTAAGCCTATGTTTTACAGTCGGCGATGTTTCAATTGTAAGTGCGTCGAAGGATTACTCTCACCAGCGGGGCGTGATGGAACGCGTCGAAATACGCGTCAGATCCCCATTTCACTTATCCTCAATATAGATATATACCGACACCCAACCTTCGACTTGAGCGTTGTCACAGCCTAATTTGATTCGACACATCGCGTTTGTTTTCCTCCGAAGCCATAAAATGTGTCTGACTGTTGATTTTAGACTGTGCCGCCATATCGGCTTTCGTAAGGCGCATTTAACTTACTGCCAGTGGAACAGCGAGGGATGTTGCCTCCGTCTATTTGTTAAGTTGATTGTAAATTCACACGCTCCAGGGCTCCAAATGGGCCGAGTTTGGAGAACGAGCCTAAGTTAGCCACGATAATCCTTTATTCGATTAGCAATAAGAGATAATGTGGTTTAGTAACTTCGCTTTAGTGTACTTCGACGTACTCACATATATTTAGGCGATGAAATAACATTGAGGTGTTATTTGGATTATTTGTAAAGCAAGGAAACGAATAAAACGTTATTCGGCGAAAACGATTGAGCCGCATTCATAGTATGAAGATATAAATGCGCCGAATTAAATAAAAAGATTTATTATATTAAAGATTTATTTTATTATTGTAAAACAGAAGCTTACTTGTGATAAATGTCTTATTCGAAGGACAGTTTCGTAATATATTTGGGGCTTACGAGAGCTTGTTGTCTTTAATTAGTGGTCATAGTGTTATCTCGTGAAATCTCCAATTATATGTATGCGGGTAGCCGAGGTCCGAAGATTAGCTGATGTTCAGTCATCTCACGTCGCCCGAGCCCGGGGGTTTCAATTAGAACGGGCTCCGTGATCATGTTATTGGTTTATTATGGCCTCGCGTGAATACATAGTATACTGTTATACACCATTTGTAAATTCGTAGAAATATCTGCCGGTATTTATGCATGCAAATAATTCTATTATAGTATATGAAGCTGTCTCTTCCACAATAAATTGTGTCATTTTAAAAATTTTCAACATTATGATTGCTAAAAACATTTTTAAAGTGGACCGTGTCAATGCCCAAGACCCTTATTTTCAGTTATGTATTTAGAAAACATTTAGGTTTACCAATATAGTTTGTTTTTATTTTTACGAATATAGAACCTTGAGAGGTTCGGGTACAAACAAGAATGAATTTGTTTTTCCGTTTATTAAAATGATTTCAGTTTTTAGCATGAATTATTGTTACTTTTTCCTTCACGTGTTTCTGTTAAGTTTATATGTTAAGGGAATGTTGCTAAAAAGACACATTAGGTATTCAAATGAGAAATAAATATGTATCAATTTAACGTCCGTTAAAACGGGGGACATGATAAAGCCCCGAGTCAAAGTGGCATAAACCGTTTTGTTAATACAAAATCTACGCGCCGTGCCGCGCGTATGTTACTTTTTAAACAGCTTTAATCACGGGATCTACATAATAATTTGAAGCGGGACTTCCCGTCCGCCCGACAACTTGATTGATGCGCCTTCCTAGATTTATTCGCCAGAAAGAGTGCCGCGACGCGAGTCCGCGGTGCTGCCACGCGGGCAAAACGGGCATCCGTTCCCATTTTTAACGCGGACCCGTCGTAATTAGCGTAATAAATTATAAAATGATAATACCGTTCGGGCCATCTTGTGGAGTTTGGGCCGCGCGTCGGGGGGCGCCGCCGCCGGCGACCGCGTGTCAATCACTCTCCGAATGTAGAACAATTCTTGTTTCGAAAATAAAAAAGAATCGCTATCGTATCACTTTTATCCTCCATCCCGCTCGGCCCCGAGCGCGGCGCTCGTGCGATCGCAATACGGCGCAGAATCGACTACGCGGCAACATCTGCTCTCCATAATAGACCCTCGCGTAGGCTTCTTTTCGGGGATCACTCCGAGCCCGGCGGGATCGCTTTGGCATGATTGATCTGTTTATTTTACATTTTAAAGGTACATTTTTACGGTTGGTTGTCAACTTAATAACAAAGTGTTTTATTTCAGGACACGTTAAGTTCGGTTTTATTGATAGGCACCTTTTAATGTTACACCCGCTTGGGTCGAGATGTATTAGGGTGTTCCCTGATTCATCAGATAATGATTGGCGTGTCGGCGTGTCGAGGATTGCGTGCGTCAGCTGATGTGGAACATGATCAGGCGCGAGTCTTCGGTGTTTTCCGCGTCAATGGCGAGTTCTAATAATAGTGAGACAGTTATCTCGTCCCGTATGGTGCAAGTGGCGCCAGGCAGTTAAGAGCGCTCGCGTCCTGATAGTTAACCAAGTTACGGTTAGCTAAGTGTGGGCGGAACTTCAATGTCGCCGCCGACGGCGTGTGTTGCGCCGCGTCTGAGATAACGCAATCGTACACCGACAGGTGCCCCGCCACTCCCATTGCTCTAAGTTCTTAATTGAAACAATTAAGATACGCTCTGTGAGAGCCACTGAAATTTTACAACACAAGCGAGACGCGCGTGTCTGCTTACTATCCGATTCTATTAATATATACGTATCGTATGATATCGTATGTTAAAAACGTTCTTTATTCAATTGAATCTTATTGCGCGAACCCCCAAACGTACAGTATATGAAATTATAAGGTAATCGGGGCTAGTTCTCTATAGACGTGCCGTGGGCGGCGTTAATTAAGAACAAACAGATAAACCTCAATTTATAGCAATTTCTCATTAAAAGCCCTATCAACATTTCAACGATCTCATAATAAATATACTAGTGCTGTATTCAAGGAGCGATTCGTGCAAACAATTTACCCCGCTTTGAGCTTTACAGAAAGTTCCTAGGAACTTTAGGATGTACCCAAGAAATCGTATTTAACTAATACAGTAAAGAAGCTCGTAAAATTTTAAACGTTTAAAAAAGCGTGTGCTCCCGACTCCACGCTCTTATCGGAAGCGATTACACGTTGCTTTATTAATTTTAATAACTACCCCTGAGACATCAAAGGAGACCGCCATGCGCGTGCGCATCTATTTCTTCTTGGTCTAAGTTAGAAGCGTAGTCATAATTGCGCCATTGTGTCATTATGTATATTGAAGTAATAAACATCGGTAATGTAGTTAATATTTTTGCCTTAATTATTTTTTGTTGATAAAATAGATTGTATAAATTGCTTAGGGTGTAACCGTAGCTCAAAACGGAATAAGGTTTGAAAATGTGAAATATAATAAAGATGATAAATAAATAAATAAATAAATAAATAAATGGATATATGTTTTAATCTAAGTAAAATTTAGCAAAAATTGTACCTATATACTTTGATTTGAATATCAAACAAATCATATAGTTAATATATTCAACTATCCTTAAATAAACTAAGTACTAGCCATGTACTGGCTTGTGTTACACGAGTGGGCAGGCTCGTCCGGGTATATCGCTGCCTGCCGTTTCGTGCTTAGTTGACAGCGAGATGGTGTGGGTTTCTGTTCCTCCCATGTTGTGAGTAGAGGGGGGGGGGGGGGGGAAGGGGCTTTGACGTGTCAGATAGAGACAGGTGAAGGGTATCCGGTTCTGATCGGGACTCCCACGAAAAACGTCTCACGTCTCGTCTGGTGAGTAACGTAACCAAGGCCCCCTAATGGTTGGCAACTCATCTGTAACAGTTAACAGGTTTAGTAGATGTCCTTGAGCGGCCGTTATCACTTAACATTAGGTGAACTGTCTGCTCGCTGGAAACCTTTCCACATTAAAAAAGTATGTACGCTAGAAATAATGCTTCAAAAAGTTACATAATATTACTTTATTGTTACAATAACTTAAAATAATAAAATTATTGGACCAATTCAGTGTGACACCATCGCAAGCGCGCTTGATGGCGAGTGGTGTGGAGTAAATCCGATTCAGCGTCACCGACCCGAGCATGACGCTTCACTTTCAATCACTTCTTAGAAAAACGCGCCTAAACTTAATTTTAACTTCAGTTAAGTCCTGTAAATAAGGACAATTGTGCTAGGTAAATCAGGGTTTGCATTTTAATTACCCAGTTGGAGTAGCAAAGTTTGAATGTCATAATCGAAGCATGGAGATTTTCTTTTTGATATCAGTAAAAAAATGACAGCATTTCATTCTCGCTTATAACTTGTTGCTTATACCACGTGCTTAGTAGCTACTGTTTACCGCTCTCAAACCCTTGAAGCTGTTTTAACAGCACTCTGTGAGTACACAATCTTTGATCTTAAGCGACACTTCAGACTTCACTGCAAGCTTCTTTGAATTGGACCGGATTTTAAAAATGTGAAGACTTGGTACCAAAAATTACCCGGCTTTTTGCGATAAACGACAATAAGATGATTAGAAAAGTCTAAAACCCATCGTTATCAGAGCCATTACAATAACATAACAAATTGTTGAATTGTTACCACCTCTAATAATGTTATCAATATTATTTATGTTAACTACCTATATAATAATTCAAAGACGCAAAAACATTTGCGTGCGTTACAGGAGGTGAGCACTGATACAGGAGAAAGACTTATCTCGCTATAATGGTTCCCACATAAATAAAGCTCATCGGATATGAAACCGTATTTACATAAGAAAAATATAAAGAGCCCAAACGATAGGTCCACAAGGGCGCCGTATCGGGAGGGCTCGCGCTTGGGAAGCCGCGCACGTCCGCCGGGAGCCGAGCGCCTTTAATAACAATACGAAATATCAGTTCGTTCCTTCGATCGCAAATCTACGTCAATAACATATCCAATAGTAGCGCTCAATTCATTCCGACATAATCTAATATGGCGGGGCACGTTTCCCGCCTAAATCTCCCGCCACATGTCGCCAAGATGGCTGCTCGGTAGAAACAAGAGACCGAAGAAAAAGGAGATCACGGATCGGTAATATCTTTCGAGTCCATAAACTTAAATGTTTATTTGCAGCGATATTTTGTCCTTTTGCGGATATTGCTTTAGGTACGATGTAAGTGGTCGAATATAAATGCAGTTTCGTGAAGGATGGTCCGAATGTGGCGGTCCGATGGTTTAGTAACATTGTTGCTGAAGTTTGCTTTGACTTTACAGTTCTTGGATTTCGGCGATTCGTGATTTATTTAACTTTGCACGAGATTTCACTGAGTTCTTCTTAACACAGCCTAAGGAAGACTAATAAGATCTAATATGTTTTTGGAATTGTTAATTGTAAAAAATGACTCATGAATTTATTGCTAAAAATAAAACTTCGTAAATTATTTATTGCTTTAGTGTGTGAAATAGATCATGAATTACTAAAGGTTCGTTCCTATTAAACAAATTCTTCTAATTATCACATACTAGATCAAATGGTCCGCTGAGCTTTTGACTTGGTTAGTTTTCTTTTATTTGTTTCATTATTGATCTCAATTTTTAAAAGACATTATTTTCAAGAAATTTTATTAATTACATTTTTTAAGTAATTAAATATTCAGTTGTGATTTAGTAGGGCTTAGATCTGTACGTTAACAAAAATGAAATAGGTTAGCTTAGTCCTTATATACTTTTATTGTATGTTATTTACCGTAAATAACGAGCGCCATTTAACTATGAAATGATTTTTAAAATATGATGGGATGAAAATAATTTATATAATTATACATGTATAACAAACTTATTAATAAATAAACTATCTGTAAACATATGAAAGAAAAAGTAGCTAACAGTGGCTAAAATACAGATTTAAAACATTGTATTGGTCTGAAATTGATCATTTTCGTGGCGGCGGCCGACAAAGACAATCGCATTCGAATTGATTAGAGCGGATTAACAATTTAACTCGCTCATCGCTTCTGTAACCAGTTCAAATAAACGTAGGAAAATTGCTACAATTAGGGTTGCCTTTCCAATGCAGTGATTGATCAATCATCGGGGACCGACAATCGAAGGAAGTGCTGCTTCGTCTGTGGGGCCGCATTGTTCGCGGACGTGTTCCCCGAACATTCGGACTGCCACCGTCACATAGATAAATAATTGCGCAGACATGTCAAACGCTTTTTGAAATAAGGCGGCAAAGGAACAAGCCGCTTGATCGTAGATGATTAGCACCGCTTATGAATGTCTATTGTACCAGAGCGTATAATGCACTTCCAATTTTAGAGGTTACGTTATTATCTCCTATGATGTGTATTATACTTACTTACTTGGCTGGCTCAGCGACCCAAAGAGGATCTTGACCTCTGTTCTGGGCTGCTTCTTGCCAATTGGCTGATTGGAGAGCTCTCAGATCTTTATGGACTTCGTCTTTCCAGCGATATCTGGGGCGACCAACAGGACTTTTGGTTCCCTTTTGGTTGCCTCATATATGTGTTTTATAAGTTGATCAAAATTGATGTTAAATATCCATAGTGTATAATTTACAAGTAACACAACATTTTATAGAAACTATCAATATTTAAAATCTTTTTGTTTTAGCTCAAAAATTTATGTTAACAGTGTTTTTAACGGCTCTGTTATTCGGCTAATCTATGACAATAGGTAATCGTAGGTGAGTTCGATTGATTCCGTCATTGTGATGGAGAGTAGTGATTTCAGCAGGAATTGTTTCAACGGACTCCCGTCGAAAGATTCCGAGTTAATGTACAGACAACGGTAATTTATCCATAGGAACTACGGAACATAATTTTATTAATCTGTAATTCGTACAAGAAACTGAGTAAATTCAATAGTGATCCCATACGAGGGGATGTGGTAATTTTTTTAAAATATTTTTACTAATTATTAGTTATTAATTTATACTATTTTGAAAATGTGCGAATTTATTAAAGCTACGATGAACTTAACTCTGATTGAAGAATTGTTACTAGAAATGGAATACGCGCTGTCATAGAGATCTCAGTGTTCTGATGACGGGATTAAAAGAAACCAATAAGGAAGGAAGAAATGTCCAAAATTAATAAGGTTTAGAGTTATAAACCTAGCGTTTTACTTAAATTTTCGATAAACGATGGCCCTGAAGTTGTTAAATACTTCAGTTAGTAATTTTACTTATCATTATGTATTAAACTAAAAATTGGTTAAGGGTTGATTGAGAACAATTGTTAGATTGTTGTTACATATTTTCAAAGAATCACACGCTTCTGTCCAAGCGAGCTGTAAATAATACCAGTACCTAATAGAATTATTTATAAAAACGAAATTACCAGAAAATAATTGTAAACTATATGGGAATGTTTTTACTTTACTTCGCTAATAATGGTGTGAGGAATTCGCAGGGTCGGAGAGTGACGACCGCATCTGGCTTTGAGGAGCTAAGGGTCTTGGGTCACGTGCCCCATTGCTATTGATTTCCATTTAATCCGGCGCGTGCTTTGCGCTACCGTAGTTGGACGCTTGCCTTCACTATTGCCGCACAAATCCTATGACCGCTTTCGCCGCCATCTTTATTTCTTACGATTGGACAGGGCGTCTTCGT